ATATATATATATATATATATATATATATATATATATATATATATATATATATATATATATATATATATATATATGTTAAAAAATAAAAAAAAGAGGTGATGTCATTTTCTTCTCTCCGCATGGGGAACGGTTTCTTCTCCCCGTCGAGGCTTCTTCTCCCTGCATGAATAAGGAGAAGTTGTCGATGATGCCGAGGCCTCGTTGCCTCAGACGAGCAGGAGGCGACATCTCATCTGCGGTGTCCAACGAGGGAGGGCGGTGATGGCTAGGGATCATCGAGAGAGAGCGACGCCAAATCTCCAGGTTTTTCCTTTTCTTCTCTTCCTCTCCCTCTTCTTCCTTCTCCCTTAGCTAACACCACCCGATAGCAGGTAGCGACGGTCAAAATCGAATGTTACCGATCAATTTCGAGCAGGAATGGGACGGAAACAACCTCAATCGATGGTACCGCCCGGTAGCGGACGGTCCGCATACCGGTGTACTGGTGGACCGATACGTACCGTTCGGTATAGACAATAGTATCATTCAAAATTAAAATCCTTACGATAAACTGTCAAGATCTTTATTAACTAAATTAGTTAATACCTTCAAATATATCGGTTGAGGTTTTGAATTGTCAACCTTTGATAAGTTGGTCTGGTATACAACCACTACCGGAGCAACGTTTAAGGTATTCGAATAATCATTATGGCATGCAAGTAAACAACATCATTAGGTGTCAAACTACCTATTCAGCTGCATTCGCATATTAGCAACTTCAAAGATTGACAGTAACCTTCATTAAGAATCTAAATGATTGAAATGAACAAAATGGAAGACCAAAATTTCTAAGTATTCAGAAACTGGTCATTCTTAAACCATGAACATTAGACTCCTAATCTTTTAATAAAACAATAGAATGTTCAACAGAAAGGAAATAATATTATGATCTGATCATCCAGAAAAATGTATGATATTTATGGCATAAATATGACTAGAAAAGACAGAATCTTCTAACAAAGCAAAAGCAAATAGGATGAAACTATTAACCGATAGCATACTTTTATATACCAAAAGAAATCACATAGCCAATCTCATATTTTAACGTATCACTGTATCACAGATATCAATCAGAAAGTTATCTTAGTAACTTGTAATTCACGAAGGGCACACTTCAGATTAGAAAATAAAGAATTACGTGAAACTCCAAGTAAATAATTAAAAGCTCATTTTGCAGCTATACGACCATCTGGTGATCATATACACTGTTCTAGAAATTATTTATTGACAATTTATTAGACATATATGCAATAACATTCGCAAACACATTTTATCAAGATAAGGATGAAGTAACAAGAAAGTGATAATATAGTCAACGACATCAACAATCACATTTAAAACATATAGAAATAAGTTAACAAGAAAGTAATAGGGCACTCTTGATCATGTCAATGAGGTAAACGGCATGGCCAATTTGTGATCGCGTATTTGGTCAACGCAAATATTTATCAAGCCAGGATATTTTCTTCGATAGATTGGATGTACCTTATTAACTCATGAATTTATCCAATTGGGCATAAACTATTTCACTGTTTACACGAGCACAGGTGGATCTGATGCCCGTGTGAGTGTTCGTGCATAGATCAAGACAAGCATCTGAGAGGCAAAACACATGTTTTTTTCATATTCGTCTCAGTAATGAAGGACATAGGCGGATAACATGATACCTAATCTATTCGAGAAAGCAAGCAAATTCCTTCACAAAGGATTGATAATCAAAGGACCAAGTAATCGTCGCGGTATAGTTCCAGCTAAATTCTTGAGAGAACAGTTTTGTCTAGTAGTTGAAAGAAAACTATAGGAACAAAGCTCTCACTCATTTAAGTTTGCCATTTCACAGAAGCTAAGATCAGAACAAATTTCACAGAAGACTTGGGGTTGCATCGACACGCAGCAAAGGGCAAAGGGCGTTTAATGGAGGATGTGATTCCTAAGAATACAAGAAAGATAATGATCAGCTGTGATTTTGCCGCCATCGTAGTCAATGATTTTTAGCACAAACCTCCTGGATTTCAGAGATGAATAGCGGTGACAATTGATCAGATGTGAAGCGTATGGAGAGCAGCAGGACAAAGATTGTTCAACCTCTAAATTCATGCGAGAAGGCAGGCAAAATTTTGGAGAAAAGACAATAAAAAGAAGTTTGACCTCTAATGTGCTTGAATGTCTAAAAAATTGTACATCATTCTACTTGATCCGCAAATCAAACCGGACATGGTACCGTGGCATCGGTCGGGTTGATTCCGACATCAAATTCCCTTTATACGAAGAGGTATCCTATTCAAGCTAGCACTGAGAAAACCAGATCCGGGGAAGTCATTAATGGGCTTTCAACCTCTTAAATCGAGGCAAAGACAAAAGATGACAAGACGAATCAATTGGGGGGCATATCGACACACGACGATGAATACAGCGAAGAAACATTGCGACGTACACTTGATATGACCTAGTTGTACGGTGCAACAATTAATAATAATGGCAGTGCCCACATGAACCGGAAGATGTAAAAACAGGATGAAGCGAACAGGAAAAGAGGAGGAGGAGAGATGGTTGGTTTTGTTGCATAGATTTGTAAAGTAGCGATTTTCCTATGTTCGGAAAGTAATAAAAACCCTCGCTTTACGGGGGAAAAGAAGAGAGGGAGGAGAGAGGATGAGGCGACCTGGAGCTGGAGAACTCGTAGAGCTTGCCGCGGGGGGAAAAGACGATGACGGCGACCTCGGCGTCGCACAGGACGGAGAGCTCGTAGGCCTTCTTGAGGAGGCCGTTGCGGCGCTTGGAGAAGGTCACCTGCCGGCTCGCGGCGTTCTCTATCCGCCGCATCTCCGTCTTGCCCCTCACCATCTCGATCTCCTCCTTCCTTCCTCCTCCCACTTGTGTCTCCTCCCTCGGCCTATTTCATCAATGAAAGATTAGGACGGGAGGAGGATGCGGAGGATAAGAATTAACAACAATAAGAGCTGTCCCAACTCACCTGTTGCCACAGAATGGGAAGAAAACGGGAGCAAAAAAAGAAAGGCGACTGCCTTGATGGAGAAAAAGTATTGGAGGAGGAGAAAAGACGAAGACTTACTCTCTCGCTTGGTTCCGTTTTCCTTATTAGGTCGTCTTTGTCATCGAGAGAAAAGGTCATGTAGCATGGACAAGATGGAGATCGCATCCATTCTCATCGAGTGAAAGGAAAGGGTATCACCTACCCATCCGGTGATTGGAACCTCTCGCGTCACCTGGTAGCGATCCTGTGTCTCGGCCAAGCGACAGAACGAGATAGGAGTGGCGATGTCGTGGAACCCACAGCCAACGAACGAACGAGAGGGGCGGCTATTCCTGTGTTTGGGACTCGACCGAGACACGGGAGCGACTTGGAACCGGGGAGGATCGGCTGTGCGGGTTCGGACGGGGAAAAGCGACAGCTTCGCGGGCACGACACGTGGTCCGTGGGCCCGCTTCGTACGAGGACGGGGGCTCGGCCGTACCTAACCGCGCAAAACGAGGCGGCTCACTGATGGTCAGTAAGGACACGTGGCGGCTGTCGGGTGGTCGACATCACTTGGGAAGGGACGAGTCAGTCGGACGCGCTTCCACAGCACGCAACCGGACGCCAGCTGCGGGGCCCAGCTTTCCACTGACGAAGAGGGGACGCAAGTCGCCGTGGCCGTGGTGGCGACACCGTAGTGGTAGAGGAGAATTGCTTTTTAAGAGACCCTCAGATCATTAAGTATCGGCGACATCAAAGTTCGTGATGCGCATTGATTTCTTCGACCATGATGGGTTCCATATGTGGAACGACGATAACCCGTCTCGCGGTTCAGGTTGGGTCCCTAAGGCTTTAAAGCGCCTAGCACGGAGATGTACTACCTTGGTTCCACGTCTCACGCATCCAGCGGAATTCTCGGCGAACACAACAAAGTGGTTTTAATGTTGATAAAGTTAAGTGTTCCTGATGTAATTTTTTTCTTGTTCTTTGCCAATTCTGGACGTCTTCTGAGGGGCACCAAATCAGTGGACTTTTCTTTGTTCTGGATGATCTTGGTCAGGTGCGATAGCATAAACAATACTGGATGTAGAGAATCTTGGCAATCGCTTACGTGCTTGCACTCGAGTGGTGGGATCGTGTCGTGAAGTCTGTCTATAGGATAAAATCTGAGAGGATCGGGAGGTGTTCCACGTGGAGATCGATTAATGTGCTTCTCATTAGATGCATGATTTTGTTTCTTTCACATAAAAAAAAAACAAGGAAATAGCACGTTTGGCAAGAGAGTAATCCGTGATTCGTATATTGCAACACCGTTGCTATAGGGACATACGGTAAAATAACAACCTAGATGATAGAATCATCATAGCTGTGGGGTTGAGGGGGCGAACCGTTGGTTTATGTTGCGCTCAACGTACGAAATTATACAAAACACAGCAGAAGCACGGCAACGCAACACACAAGAGTAGTGCTTCGAAAAATCTATATCAAGAATCCTATGTACATACGGCAACGCAATTCAAAAGTCATGTGCACTGTTCTTGTTGATGGAAACATTAGATCCCTGCAAACATAAAAATTATAATCATATTTTTATTATATAAAAAAATTTTAATGTCAAAAGCAAGAGGTGAGATCAAATAATTGTAAATTAAAATTTAGATGTACATACCTATTGATCTCTATCTAATCTTCCTATTCTTTCACGGGATTATTATAAGCGATGATGGAATAGGATCTAAAATGTGATAAAAGAAGATTTATAATATAGTTATAGACAAAAAAAAAAAAATCTACAATATATAATTATGAGAATCCCTCTCATCAAGATCATCTCCTTTAAGAGAATCCTATCATGGTTAAACTTCATTTCTATTAGTGTAATTAGAATTCAATCATATCTATAATATATCTTACCTAATTAAATAAGATCACATAATCTAATGTTCTCCCATTAAGTTTCTTAATTAGTATAATATAAAAAAAAGTTAAAATCAAAATAAATAAGATAAAATTTTATTTGAAAACAATCTTAATAAATTAAAAATCAAAAGTTTTAAAAATCATTTTACATGTCTGCATGAATTTTATAAAATAGATTAATTAGTCTAATAAACATAATAATATTATATTAAGTTTTACTATCCATACGAGTTACAACGATTGTATATCTATCATTAATGTCAAAATCTCTTCTATATATTACAACACTATTAATTTCTTAATGTAAATCACAATGACTCATGTAATGTATCTTATCAAAATAATCTTGTTATCAT